GGTGGTGTCTTCAGTGGTGTCCCTGAGTTCCCAGGTGAACTCTCCCTGTTCCTCAAAAAGGGCCGTGTGCTGGGAGGCTTGGGGTTTTTTTTTTATTTTTTATGTTTTGTTTTTGGCTGAATGAAACTATTTCTGTCTATAAACCCTTGTCTCAACCCCCCTGAAAGGATAATATTTCCAGTGTTGTCATTGTGAACTCCCCTTGCTTCCACCCGTGTTTCAGACGTGGGTTCAGAGCTTTGCACTGGGAATACTGGGAATGTGTGTATTTGTGTCCATCAGCCAGGAGTGTGGTCGCTGCAAGCGCTGGGGTGTTTTGGGAACGCTGCAGTGGATGGGATCCCTGATCCTGGGTGACAGGGCACCTCTGCCAGGGGATCCAGGCAGGTCCTGTGTGCTGGGAGGGGCTGCCAAACATTGTCCTGCCTGGAGCAGTGGGGCAGGGCAGGGTAGGCCAGACCCGGGGCTGGGCACTCTGAGTCCTGGGGCAGTGTTGGGGAAGTCCATCAGCCCCACCAGGGGAAATCCCTACAGCCCACGGGGAGGGCTGGGGGGCTGTGGCTGGAGACCTTTCCCTGCTGTGCCATCCCTGGCACTTAACCCTTGCTCTGCCCTCTGGGAGCTGTGCGTGTAGTTCCCTTCTCCTTTAGTAAGGATGCAGATCCCCCCGGATCAGCCAGATCTTCCACGTTTATTTTCTCCCTCTGCAGATGGCTGACAGACCTTTTCACTGCTCATCATATGCCTGCCTGTCTGTCGGCAGGAGCTCTGCAAACAGTGCCTGGGAGATGCTGTGCTTTGGGAGGGGGTTTCCTTTTGCATGCTTTGCTTTGAAGCCTCTTGGAGCTGCTTGTTCTTCAGTGGGCTCCAGCTGATCATTCCTGAGGTGGAAAGGTGCTGTGTGGGGTGGAGGGGAGAGCAGAGCTTTTCTTTCCAGGAGCAGCTGCAGGTGGATGGATGGATGGCTGGACACAAAACCCTGTGGAGTGAACCAGCTCCTGTCCTTTGGCTGAGCTCTGGAGCCTCAGTGAGGCAATTTGTTGGAGCTCACTGGCTCTTGGTAATTATTTTAGTAGAAACAATCAGATCCCGTTTCATCCAGAAATGAAAAGGCTGGAAGTGTAGCAGTCCAGCTTCTGGATGTGACTTTGGGGTCCTTGCCATGTATGTTGCTCCAGAGGGATGGAGCTCCCTGTTCCTCAGCAGTTCTAGCCCTGCAGTCTTGGTTTAACAGTGAAATCAGGGTCACTGTAATTGTGATGTTTGATGTGCACAGATTGACTGGGGCAGGTGAGCTCCTCTTTTCCATGGGTGTCATCCTACCACAGTGGAGTGAGAGGAGCTCCCAGTGCTGCCTGTGCCCTGCAGAGCCCGGGGGTCCTGGTATCCCCAGTGCAGCTGAGGATTAAAGACCTCTGCCTGACCAATGTTAGAGACCAACCCCAGCCACACATTCATTTCTATTCGTAACAAAAATTGATATACTTTTTTTCTATTTCACTTCATGAAATTAAGATTTAATAATGTGATTCTTAAGATTTGAAGTTGGTAAAAAAGGCAGGATAATTATGTTTCAGTAGCATTTCCAAGGACCCTAAATGAGTTCTTTGTGTTCAGCCCCTTTTCTGCTCCCAGGTGAGAATGGCAGGAGGTGACTGTTCCAAGCCTTTCTTCCCAGTGAATTTCATCCATTTGCTGTGATTCCCAATCCCTCTTCTCCCTTCGGTCCCAGAGATACAATTTGCAGGTGCTTCCCCTGTCCCTGCAGCTGTGAAGTGATGCTCATTAAGGAACACAACAGGAAGTATTGCTTGTGCTTTAAGTGACCTCCCTGCCGGTGCAGCCTGTCCAGGACTCAGGTATTAGAAGTCTTTCCCCTGTGCATGCTGCTCATGGAATGTGAGTGCTCATGTTAAGTCAAGCTTTCTGGAAGTTGGGGAGTTAAGAGCTGGTGTGGAGGGGAAGTCTCTTATTGGAGGCTTTGTAAGAACGTGATTCTGCTTTGGGTGTATCAATACAGCCCTTGCAAAGGAGGGAACAGGCAGGGCAAGGTTTAGGAACACCAGTGCAGTGGAGGCCTGAGGAGTAACTGTGGAGGATCTCACAGGGGCGAGTGGCTGCTCGGGAGAACGACAAATTCAATTTACCTTGGAGAAATGTTAAATTCTTACTGTGAAAAACTATCACATTCTCAGGGCCCACCATTTTTACTTCTTACAGATCTATATAAATGATTCAATTTATAGAGAGGGGTGGCACTGATGGGCACCAGGCAAAGGTGTAGTCTTGGCCTTGCAGTGGAAACCTGCAGGTTCAGGGGGCAGCTCAGGGCTGTGTGTGGGACTGTGCTGCTCGCTGGGCACCACTCCTGGGCATCGCAGGGATGAAACTTCATTGGATGGCAGTTGGCATCTCATGGTTGGCTTCCCTTTTTTTAACTTATCAATACTAAAGCTGTGCCACAGAATCCAGAGGCGAGAGAAACTTTGGAGAATGAATATTCAGTGAGCTCTGAGCTCCAACTGAAACTCTTCCCCGGGCCCAGGCATTCCCGATGTCTCTCCCGTGTAGGTTGCCTGGCATTTACTGAGAGGAGCACTCGCTCTGTTCTCCCCTCAGTGAGAGCAGGGGGAGTGTTTTTTCTTGTCGGTCCGTCTGGTTTTCCCTCAGAGCTTCTGGAAATTTAAATTTTGCTGTACCCTCTTTTAGCATTCCTACTCACTCAGGAGTTCCAGCCAAATGTATTTTGGGAGGAATAAAACACACAGTTGGCGATGCCTTTTTAAAAATCTAATTAGGAGTTAAAATGGTATCTGGTTTATTTGGCCCCGTCTCTGCTGTGTTTTAGTTCTGTAAAGCATCAGAACTCAGCCTTAGCATCGGGGGGAGCAAAGGGGGGCCGAAGGTGGGCGAGGAGCACACCCAGCTGCTTTGTCATTAATTAATTATGGTCTTAAGCTGTGCCAGGGGAGGTTTAGGTTGGATATTAGGAAGAATTTCTTTCCAGAGAGGGTGATCAGCCCTTGGAATGGGCTGCCCAGGGAAGTGGTGGATTCTCTGTCCCTGGAGGTGTTGAAGGTGAGACTGGATGTGGCATCAGTGCCATGGGCTGGGAACTACAGCAGGGTTGGATCAAGGGTTGGACTTGATGATCTCTGAGGTCCCTTCCAACCCAGCTGATTCTGTGATTCTAATTGAGTATTAATTGGCTGTTAATGCTGGTGGCTTTTGGCCATGGAAGCTCTGGCTCTGAAGTGTCAGAGCATTAAAGGAAGAAGTGTTTGGGGTGTTTGCCTCCTGCTTGTCCTGCTGGAGAGGCTCCAGCTCCAGTGTTGGTGAACTCCTGCTGAGGGACACGGCTTGTGCTGTGGTTTCAGGTGTTGGCTTTGTCCTCCCCGTGGGAGTTAGGGACTCCCAAAATCAAATCCCTCTGAGGACCATGGTGGCCCCCTCTGCCTCTGTTTGTATCGTGTCATTTCAAGGGAACTGATAACAAAAATGGGAATTCCCACTGTGGGTTGGACCCTGTGACTCCAAGTTCCACCTGTTGGCTTTAAATCTCCACAGCTTGACTGGAAGAGTGTTTTCTGTCTTCTCATGGTGGGTCTGCTCACGCTGTCCTGGCAGGTCTCATTGGTGACACTGTCTGTGCCACCTCCCAGCTTTCTAAACAGTTGTATTTTGCTCAGTTTATGAAAAATATACTATCTAAGGGCAACTTCAGCACTGACTCTTGTGATTTGTGGCTCAAAAACCAGTTTACATCAAGCCACACTTCCCCGAAAGACAGCTCAGGTGGGGGCTGGAGCGACCCTTTCCCAAAATGGGATCAGGGAATGCAGGGAAAAGGTATCAGGCAAGTGAGCAATGAGAGAAACTATCTTTGTATCTGTTATGTTTGTTTTGTTCTCTCAGTCAGTTTGATATATGCATTTTGCTTCCTCTTCCCAAATGGTTTAATTTTATTCATTTGCCTTAGCAGCATGTTTTCACTTTGGAAAATCTGGGTGGGAATTCCTTGATGGCTGTAACTCATCCAACAGAGGCTCCTTCTGGGAGAAGGGGCTGATCAAAGCTGAGAATGTGCTGCTTGGAGAGGAGGGGAGCCCTGGTGCTGGGATGGCAGAGATACTCTGCAATTTAATTTGGGAGATGGAATATCTTCCTGGCCTGGAGCTGGCTGGAAATAGCAAAGCAGTCTTGTCACTGGCTGGATATAGGAACTCCTTGGATTGTTTCTGTACAGAATTTTAGTTCTTTCCCATTTTATCCTTAGGTGATATTTAGGTTGTTTTTAAGAAAAACCAAAACCACTCTTTCAGGCTTTTACAGTTTTGGGGATCTGTAGACAAAACCTTCCAGACTGTCAGTGCTGGGGGTCTGAGACTTTCTGTGCTGTCAGGTGTGTGTGGATTCCTTTAGCAACTGATTTTTAGTAGTTTTTTATTCTTAACAGTAAGATTTCAGAGAAAATCCTTTCATTCTGATGGCTTCACTAAGCGCTAAATGAAAAGTAACACAGAGTCTGCTGTGTTCCCTTCCCCTTCGGGGTGGATGTTCCATCGTTTTTACGTCCTGTTTAGAGTTTCCCTCTGCTCTATTGCCATTTGTTTTTCCTAATTCCATTAAAATCTCTGCATTAGCTTGTCACAGGAGTTTATAGTTGCACTTCTGGTAAAGTCCTAGAAATCTTGTGTGTTCCATAAGTTTTTCTGGACAAAACTGAAGGGGACAAGGGGCTTGGTGGTGTTGGAGCTGAGAGTGTTTGTAAAGGCTGCAGCACACAACCCGTGATGGTGGGATGGGTTTCTTATTTAATGTTTCAAAAGCAGATGGGCAGCTGTGAGGTTTATACAGGCTGTCACCGGGATGGGACGTTTTCTGGTGACCAGCTGAACTTTCTGAGGCAATTTTTTTTGACAGTACAATAAATTAATACCCCGCTGTCCGGGAAACCTGCCTTGAGTCCATTGTAATCTTCCTCTCTCTTTTTCCCTTAGGAAATTTGCTACAAGACCCTATTGCTCCCACCAACTCCACATGCCAGCACTATGTCTGCAAAACCTGTAAAGGCAAGAAGATGATGATGAAACCGTCGTGTAGCTGGTGCAAGGACTATGAGCAGTTTGAGGAGAACAAGCAGCTGAGCATCCTGGTGAACTGCTACAAGAAGCTGTGCGAGTACATCACACAGACGCCCCTGGCCCGGGACATCATCCAGGCCGTGGACTGCTCGGCAGACCTGCTGGCCCTGCTCAAGGATGGGTCCCCCCTGCACGAGGACGCCGAGAAACCTTCCGACGCGGCCCTGGCTCTGTGCCTGACACATTCCCCGGTCCCCTCCACCTCGGAGCTGCCCAGCGACGCCCCGGCGGGGTTCCCCTCGGTGCCCGAGGCCACGCACAACGCGGACGGCCGGGGCTCGGCCATCAACGGGCTGCCCAGCTGTAACGGGCTGCCGGGGGAGAAGCTGGGGGTGAGCCTGCCGTCCCCGGAGCACGCCAGCGCCATCGACGTCTGCGGCGCCGGGGACTACATCAAGACGGAGGAGCTGCCGGGCGGCCTGCAGCCCGTGTGCGACCCCGTGTCGGGCAGCGACCTGTGCCCCGCGGGCATCGACATCTGTGGCTTCAGCGAGGACATGAAGCCGGGCGGGTCGCTGCTGCTCAGCGTGGAGGAGGTGCTGCGCAGCCTGGAGACCGTGTCCGGCACCGAGGTGTGCGACTCGGGCCTGCAGCCCGGCCTGGAGGCGAACATGGCCAACGGCCCCTTCCTGCAGCTCTCCCCCCCTCCCCTCAGCCATAACATTTTCATGTCCACGGAGGCTTCTCCTCACGGCATCTCCTGCACGGCGGCCACGCCCAAGGTGGTGAAGTTGAACAGGAAGCGGTCCCGCTCCGAAAGCGACAGCGAGAAGGTCCAACCTCTGCCCATCTCCAGCATCATCTGCGGCCCAACCCTGGGAGCGTCGGCTCCCGTGACGGTGAAACAGGAGAACAAAATGTCTCTGCAGCCCATTGCGACTGTACCCAACGGAGGCACCACCCCCAAAATCAGTAAAACTGTGCTCCTGTCTAACAAAAGCATGAAAAAGAACCTAGAACATGCCCCTAAGAAATCCCACCCGAAAGCCAAACCGGGGGTGCTGAAAACGAAAGACAAGGCAAAGGAGAAAGTTCCCAGCAGTAACGTTATGCCAGGAAGCCCAACAAAAACTGTGTATAAAAAGCCACAAGAAAAGAAAGGGTGTAAATGTGGTCGTGCCACCCAAAATCCAAGTGTTCTTACCTGCCGTGGCCAACGCTGCCCTTGCTACTCGAACCGCAAAGCCTGCCTTGACTGCATATGCCGTGGCTGCCAAAACTCCTACATGGCCAACGGGGAGAAGAAGCTGGAGGCGTTTGCAGTGCCAGAAAAGGCCTTGGAGCAGACCCGGCTGACTTTGGGCATTAACGTGACGAGCATTGCGGTGCGCAATGCCAGCACGAGCACCAGTGTAATCAATGTGACAGGGTCACCAGTAACGACGTTTTTAGCTGCCAGTACACACGATGAGAAAAGTTTGGATGAAGCTATAGACATGAGATATGACTGCTGAGTCTGTCTTTCTTTTCCCTGCCCTCTGTAGGGGAACTGCTACAGGTTTAAGGCAGCTATGGTTCTGTTTAACTTGCTGGAGCTCCTGCGTTTAGATCACTTGTATCAAGTGTTTTTCATTGCTATGTTCTGTGTATTAGTGTCTGGGAAATAGTTGCAGATAATGGAGGAGTTACCCTAAAACTGTTTTTAGTTCTTACAGCACCTCATAGTTTGAGATCGATTGCTGATGTAAATGATTTTATCACAAGATCTTTGACAGGAATATATTGACCTCATTGTACTTGCTCGTGCTTTGTGCTCAGTCAAAGCTTCGGCTCCAGAGTAGAGCAGTGGCACCCGGTTAGTCCATCTCAGCGGGGCTACACTGTGCTGTGCAAGACTGACTGTCGATGGGTTACGGTCACCGTGACCAGGGAATGCCCCGGTGCTCCCGTGGGAAAGGCAGGAGGAGGACACAGTCTGGCAAGGGTAGGTACTGGCTGCCTGTGGGAACTGGGTATCTGCTCTAGGGAACAGCTCACAATTACAGACAGGATTAGTCAATACGTTACAAAGCTGACAGGCCAGAAGGCAGCTCGGGCTGCAGGCAGGGGCAGGAGGGTCGGGCAGATACCGGGTCAGACTGCTCGGATACACCGTCCTGGGAACAACATCACCCCTGGCAGCTCCAGGGCCATGTCCCTGCTCAGTCACCCCTCTGTGCCAGCTCCCCTTGGGTGATGTCACTGCGGGCTTTGGCAGGGGGAGAGCAGCGCTTGGACCCAGCCAAGGCTCCACTTTTGGTAGCACCATCCTCTCCCTTTCCTGCTCCCCCTGTTTTTTTCTTGAGTTCCTGCTGGTTTTACTGCTGTTGCTTCTAGAGAAGAGAAGGGGGGTTGTGGGTTACAGAGAGACCCCTTGGCTGATTTTCCCCCCTCAGTGCCAGGATACAGAGATTCCACAGCACTGGGGGGACTTTGATCCAGTTTGTACCGTGACAGCTCCTCCCTCTGAGGGGAGTTCTCCACTGACAGGCACCTTCCAGCCAGGGCAGAGGATCGATGGCTGTCCAAGGTCAAACATTCTGGGTGTTTGCTAAACACAATAAGCTATGTATAGCTCACTCCACCCCAAATCTATCTCATTTTCTGCTAAAATGCTAAAAGTAGCTTTTGAAGGTCAGTGCTTTTCAACCAACCTGGGCCAAAAGGCTCGAAAATGGAAACATAACACAAAGTTGTCAAGAGCTTATCTGGAAAAGCGTTACAGTGAAAGAATTCCTGTCAGGAACTCAGTTTTACACAAAAATGGTTGATTCCAGCACAATCCCTAAGCAGGGGGCCCAAGAGTTTAGCTGTGCAGTTACAAAAGTCAGACTGCTTTGGGAAGGCAAAAATCTCTCCTCTTGCAGTGATACAGCACAACCTGAGGGTGGGCTGACTAGACCACGAGCGTTTCTGTCTCATCTCAAAGGCAATTCCTGTTTCAAGGGCGTGTTCAGCAGCGTGTGGGTTGTTGAGTTCCTCCCCTGGTCCCACCTTCCCTTGCCCGCAGGCCCCGCGGGCGGTGCCGGGGGCTTTGACCTGGCACAAAGCACGTACAGTGGCGGTTCCTCACCGGAGACATGAGCAAACCCCTTTGGACACAAATGGCACCTCCTTTTGTTTTGTAGTGTACCATGGTGTCATTTTCTGTGAATGTGGTCAGAGCTTTTTGTTGGTTTTGGTTTGTTTCTCCCCCCGTCTTTTCTGTGGGGTGGGCAGGGTGGGGGGTTAAAGCCATAGGAAGAAAAATGTGATGTACGTGTCCAGTCTGTACTTTTTTGTTTTTGTTTTGCAAGAAGAGTTGAAAAATATTTTTGATAATGAGTAAATGGTGGAAAATGCTTCTTAGTATTCTTGTCTTTATTTGCCAACCCGAGTACCTAAGATCTGTGTTTTTTAGCCCTCCTGAGATTTAACGATGTCCTATTAAAATGTATTTAGTTAAACTTGTATGTGATTTTTGTGTTGACCCAGAAGGATCCTACCAGTTCCTAATTTGGTGGTTTGATCGTGACCTACTAATGTAAATCTGTTTATTAGTCCACTACGTGTAAGCGAAGCAGCCCCCGGAGCTGGGAGTGAACTGCACAGCATGGGTTGTTTGGGAATGCTTTTGCAGAGCTGTTAAGTTTTGCTGAGATTGTTGATGGTACATTTTTAGGACTTTCATTAAATTAAATACAAAGTACCTTTGCTCCAGAAATGTGGGAGTATTTGGAATCTTTACTATCTCACTGCTGCATCCAGTGTGGTACCAAAAGTTGGAGAATTTAGGTCAAGCGTGTTTTGGAGCTGTCGACAGGAGAGCCCTGATGGTTCATGTAAAACTGCAAATGGTAGATTCAGGTTGTTTTTAAAAACATTTCCTTTTATGCTGCCACATTCTTGAAATGTATATTAAAATTCAAATTGATTTAATAAATGTTAGTTTTCTAATTCTATTTTGCAACTGCTGAGGGCATCAGTGTGGCATATGTTGAACTTATTGTCTGAATACTACTCTAAATACTACTTAGTCCAGTGATGACTAATTCTGTAATTGTTTAAATTAGGCTTGGCTTGCTTTGGTCTCGTCGCCCTCCTGGCTAGTTGTTCCTGAGGAGCTGAGCAGTGGGAGGGCTCAGCTCGGTGCTGGCAGGAACTGCAGCGGTCCCAGCTGGAAACTGTCCTGGTCGGGGCCCTTCCTCCCCGTGGTCCAAGAGCAGAGGGAGACCTCGGCCCCACACCCCCAGAGCAGGGCCCTGCCCCCTGCCCGTCCCAGCCTGGGGAGTCACTGGGGAGTCACTGGTGGCAGTTCAAGGATCAGTGGAGCTCCAGCTGGAATTCCCAGTGTTCCTCCTGAGGGACTGTGGATCTGGGGAACTGTTCTCAGCATTAGCACAGAGGAAGCTGCTCAGGGATTTCTTTTGGTAGAGGCAAGCGTGTGATGTTCCAGCTTTCTTCCCAGTCCTCTTGGAGACAGGGATTAACCTCCAAACTTTATTAAAACCCCCGTAATTTGTAGAGCTGCATCAGAAAGAAAAAGCAGCAGTTCATGGTCATGGGTAGTGGTACAAAATTAGTGCTGTGACCAGTGAGGTCTGACCATGGTCTTCCAAGAAAATGAAGTTCTCCCCCTTCTCCCGGGAGTGGAGAGGCTCTTCCCAGCATCACACATGGTACACGTTCCAGAATGTCCAAGGAAGGAGTGGATGCTGCACTTGGTGATGCTGTTCCATGGGCACAGTGGTGCTCTGGCAAAGGCTGGACTTGGGGGTCCCGGAGGTCTTTTCCAACCTTAGTGATTCCAAGATAAATCAGTGGGGTGGGATTAAATCCCAGAGGGAGGAGGGACAGGGAAGCGCAGTGGCCCCCTGGCACGGGGCCTGTCCCCGATGTTCCTGCTGGCAGCACCAGCTGCGCCCTGGGCAGAGCCTGCCCTGCCAGCAGTGCTCCCCAGGCAGCCCCTGCCAACACCAGTGTTCAGAAAAACCTGCAGAGTTACAGGGAAATAAAACCGGAGCAGCCTGTTCTGCCAGGCAGGTACTTCTGGCACAGCAAGGAGCTGCTCCTCCGGGGAAACCCCAGGACTTTCAAGGAACAGCTCACAGAGATGTGGCCCAGGAATGGAGCAGATTCTGGCACCATCCAGCACAGCAGGACCTTTTTACTGCAGGCAAGAAGCACCACTTCCCCCCCTGCATTTCTTACGGATTTAAATTCTATACAAATCATAGTTATAAAACAACTTTTGATTGCTAACTGGCTTGGAGAGGTGAAACGAACCAAAGAAGCAGAATCATCCCCAATGTGCAGCACAGCTGAGGAAATCCACTCTGGAAGGCAGGTAATGTTATTCCTGGTGGTACTGGGAACATCACAGGCACATCTTTGGTCTTAACAAGTCCATTTTTCCAGTTGAAGTGCTTTTGATATTCTAAAAAAACCCACCAAAAGGTGACTGTGATACAGACACACTCGGGCACCCCCCTGGTGATGCAACACTCTGCTTGAGCATTAGCATATAATAAAAATTAGAAAAGGCATCACTGCTTTTCCTGTTTTTTCTTTTCACCTTTTTTTTTTTCCTTTTCCTCTTTGTTTTGTTTTGTTTTGTTTTCCTTCATTCCACTTGCAAAAGATCCAGAGGATGTCTCCTTTTTTTCAGGCCAGGTTCAAATGAGGGAGCTTGGTGTCTTGGTAAGTCATCCCAGGGACAGTGCTCCGTGCTGAGGAGGAGGATGTGAGGCAGGTAAGTGGTCACTCTGCCTTGTCCTGGTGTTTGTGAAAAGAAAGCCTGGAATTCTGGCTTTGGCAGATGTGCTGATGTGAACTCACCAGAGCAGGGAAGGTGATTTTGGGACAGCAGCTGGAGGTGAACAGTCACACTCTGCCCCACCACTATGGACAGGTTTTCCTTTTAAAACTCAAAAGTCCTTTATTTGCCAAAAAATAAGAAGAAATTACGAAGTAAAAATACAAAGATCAAACCATGCCAGCACAAAATGTCTCCAAAACTACTTTTACAAAGTATGAGAACCATTATTATTATTAAATGCTCAGTTTCCAAGCCCCTGCCCCAGTGACACAGCCAGGAGAGGAGCACAGAAGGGGAAGCTCTGTTCATGTTTTCCTTACAGTAGCTCGTGCTGGTCACTGAGGGTCAAGGTTTTTTGCATAGCCCTGATCTAGAAACTCCAGATCCAGACTGTTAAAACCACACTTCCATGAGCCGTTTTTTAGCCTTTCAGGCTTATTTTGTTTCAGAAACTTAAGCCCAGTACCTTGTTAGAGCATCTCGAGGGAGCTCCCTTAAACCCTTCCTTCAGGAAGGCTTTGGAATCCCTTTGCTGTCCCCGTCTGTGCCACTCCCAGGCAGGGGGGAGCTGGGGCAGTGCCCGGGCTTTGCTCCCGGAGCTGGGATGCAGCAAGTGCCGCTGAGGGGTGGGAGGAAGGAAGCAAGAATCGCGGTGGGACCGGGGCAGCAGCGACACTGAGCCGTGTCTGTGATCTCAGCGCTGCACAGACACCACACGGGGGACACAGAGTCCAAAGCAGGGGGGTTTGTAAGGACAGAGGACGGAATTTT